ATCGTTTTTAGAATATCAAATTCCATTGCAACAATCAGAAAAATATGAATAATCACTGAAAGAATGGTTGTAAGATTTGATGATAAGGATCCTTTTAGGCCGGTAGTGAGTTCTTATTTTAAGATTGTCTTAGATAATGTCTTAAGATGCTAATACGATCCTCTGATTTATGACTACTTAAGACTACGTACTGTACTTATTTCATGATATTTCAATCACTCACGTATCTTTGAAGATGTTTGCGATATTTTGCATTAGAGAATCTTCATCACTATGTATACATGATTTCACACACACTAAAGAAATTCTTATGCACACATTTAATTTTTATCAACATCCATAATTATGGATCAATGCGAATTGGGCGATCTCAAGTTTCCTAATAGCTTTACGATCACTATAATGTTATGCAATGTAATCTAATACGTATCTCGTTTCGTATTGCCGTCATTGCGAAGCCGACTTGGTGCGTAGTTCCGATCCAAAACATGCGAGGTTTACTGTGGTAAACAAAATCGATTCTTTACGATTATATTTTCGTACGATTAAACACATGGAAACGTCGGCTTGTAAAGATATATTTTGCGTTGTGTTTAAATGAATTTTGTGTGATTCGATTAGTTTATGGTAATGTAAATATATATATATATAGGTAGAAATATAAAAAGTTGTACATGTTCGTAATCGAAGAATCAGATAGATAAAACGGTCAATTTTTACAAGTAAAATATTTTAAGCTTATGATTTATGCAAAGTTTAATCGACGATTGTAATAATATGATAAAATCGCGATAATGTGTTTTGTCAGTCAGCGTTAAATTAATACGATCGTATCATATATGTATATGATAGAACAAGTATGATTTATTCATGGAATTACTTTTTTATTAGAACATCTCGTTTAGATATCAATTTTACCTGTTTCGTTTTTATTATTTCCAATCGACAGACACGTTATTTATTTATAAAGTAACTTAGAAAGCAAGAGTATTTCATGAAAGAATCATTATTTGGCATAGTGAACGTTAATAGAAATATCGACAAGCCTTGCAAAATATCAACTATCGAGAGAAAGAAAAATCTTTGATACATCCGTTTCGCGTGTGATTAGAAATATTTTATTCGACACAATACATATAAAGAAAAAAGAATTTCTGCCGTTGACGCTTTCTTTTTACAGATAAGTTAAATACATGATAAACATAACGTTTAATATTAAATCAAAACGTTGTTTGTGCAATTCTCTCGCTGACACTTGCGATAACACGAGTTCGCGAGAATAAATCGAGAAATGACAGACGACAACGGTTCTCCGATTTATCATCGATAAATTGTTTTAACAGCGTATTTGCAGATATAAATTTCTTGACAAATACCAGATATAACATCAGTATCTCGAATACAACTGTATTTTATCAATATACTCGATGCACGGTTATTTATTTAATTTCTATCTTCGTGTTTTGTCAGCTGTAGCAAAATTTCTATCGAATAAAAATATCAGATTTTCTCTTTCTCGACATCGAAAATAGTATTTGGAAAGACGAGTTTACGGTGACGCGATCGACGCCCTGATCTTAAAATTTGCATTGAAAGACCTGGCCTACCTGACTAATCACATTCCGTTCATCTTATATGAATGTTCATAATATGCAATTAGCATAAATTGAGATATATAGCGTGGAAGCGATAAACGTGCGGAACGGCACGTTTCGTCGGTACTTACCTGCGAGAATTTTTCTGCGTGTAATCATGTCGATCATAACCACAAGCGTCGAAATTGTGTATTCAATTTTCGTAAAAGTTTGAAAAGTCCAAGGAAATCTGCAAATAATATTTTACTTAATAAATAATCTGAGCAAAAATTTGAGGTTGATATATAATTATAGAGCAAAGTTCATTAGAGAGGCTTAATATTTTTAACTTTTACAGAATGGAAAAACTATAGTGGCGCTGAAACTGTCATATTTTGAAGCGTACAATGAAATAATGAATTAACAAATTTTCAAAAGAAAGCTGTAAGATTTTAAAAATAGATCTCCGCTATCTAAAAGTTAATATAAATAGCAACAATGCGAAAAGACATTTTCATGGTACTGTGAGAAAAAAATGATTGCAATTACCATAATTTCACTATTTAATTTATAATCACTTTTTAGGGTAATTATATATTTATAGTTGCTCTATTATACAAATATAGTAAATTGTACTGTTAACAATAGTCACGCACGCTGCTTGAAAATCTTTAGTTTTTTCTCAACATATTTTTTATTAATATAAATAGCAAGTGAATTTTAGAAAATACAACAGTTACATTCATTATAACTGCGATTGCATTTATTGAATAAAAATTTGTATTTTATTTACTATTCATATCTTGATATTTTATTATATTAATATTTGAAATACTCATAACTTGTAGTATAATTTTTCACGTTTGAAAGAATTACATGTATGGTTATTATTATTAACAACAGTAATAAAAATGAAAGTTTTTAGTCATAATAATTTTATCATACATACAATTATAGTTATAATTACCGAACATTATAAATATATTGGCCAGAATATTTTATAAATGTAATATCTTTTCTAGCAGGTGTTACATTTAAAAAATTAGTCGATTCATTACATTTGTAAAATTGATCGATTAATTACACTTTATAAATGTAATGTCTTCCCAGGCATTACATTTATAAAATAACCAACGTCTGACTGAATATGTTGATGCAACACGCGGTACATTTCTTATAAAATTTGATTTTATTCTCTTTCAATGTAGCTGCTCTTCATTTTTGCACTTTAGTACGATCTCGTTCACATTGATATTCGCGATCGTGGCATTTCGCGAATTTACGACGTACCTACGCTTTCAACGGCACGTAACGGAGAAAAGAAACAGCCACCAGATGCTTAAGCGAAAAGTATTATTTGTATCTTTTCTTTAAATGCGTTCATCGTGGATCATCCGTTCCGCTTCTTTCCTTTCTTCGATACGAAGGAGAATACGAGAGAACACTCATTTAAGTACGTACATATTCGTATGTAAACAAATGTAAGGCAGTTATGTTTATCTTGAATAAATAATAATGAAAAGATGTGGCGAAGAATGTGGCGAAATACATATATTTTCCTTCCAGAGAAGCAACATTTTAATATGAGATTCTTCATCGTTTCTAGTACTACTTTTACATTTAAAACGAGGAATAAGCTTTCTTCATGAGAACATTGTGAAATCTCACTAGAATACCGAATTTCATATTCCAGTTGTGTGTTGCACGGTTACGTACGGATGAAGCGTCGTTTGAATCCTTTTGCACACGTCACGGCTCCCGTTTTCACTTTATTCGGGTTTAAAGCTCTTACACGAGTATTGTTTGCGCGATATGCAACGAGACAGGAAGGTAAGCCAATGTCAAAAGGACACGAACAAGATAGGAGAAACAGGCGGCCGGAACTTGTATAACACATCGCCATAAAGCTTGTTTGCCAAAAAATGACGAAGAGACGTAGGAGCAGAAGATTGCAGATTTTGACATTAAGGTATATTAAAATGTTAGCTTATCTAAAATAAAAATGTTCCGAGAGATCTCACAAAACGAAATGATATTTATATACATCTTTTATAAGATCATATATAT